CATCGAATTACGACCCGTGTGCTCATTGGTCCGTGGCCGCGTTTGCCTCGCGTCGAAGCCAGCACCTAGCTGTACAAGCAGCGCTGTCGTGTCCCAGCCCTCGCTGTAATTGAATATGTCTCGGGATACGCTGGATCTACTTCGCCGCCTTTGCGTGTGAGGTCGCCTCTACAGACGCTGTGAACCCACGTAAACCAGTATTTTTATCACCCCATGCAGCACGTAGCGTTCGAGTGTCCACCGCTGGGCCCGACGGCCACCGAGCACTGGAACGACGCCAGCGTCGAAGCGTGCGTCGAGACCATCCAGGCGGTCGAAGCCGTCCGCGCGTACCCGGTCTACGGCGTCTACACGGACCCTACATCCGGCGCAAGCATGACCCTCCACGCGGGCCACGAGCCCGGCAACGCTGCGAACTACTCCATGTGCGGCCACACACAGCTCCGCGCGTCGCTCGCCGAGGCCGCGGCGTGCTTCCAGCGCCTCAACACGCACGAAGCCGACTCGTTTGTGTCGATGCTCGGGCGCCCAATTCTCGGCAGCACGACGCTGTATACCCTCATGGAGCCGAGCGAAGAGAGCCCGATGCAGTACACGGGTATCGAGTGGACGGCGTTCGAGGCGCCGCGGCTCGGCGACTTTACACCAATCCGGGACCTTTGCTACCTCGAGAGCCAAAACCAGTTTTTTCACCAAGGCGAGCAGCGCCACGGGTGGGTCCGGTCGCTCCACTCGATCGACGTCGACGCATGCCCGCCGTTCGCGCAAGACATTTACCGCGCCGAGATCTACCAGTCGGGTCAAGTGTTTGTGCAGTCGGCGACGCCCGGCGTCCTCGACTGCTACTCGCTCTGCTCGATCGACCTCAAGTACACGCTCCCCGAGCGTGACCACATGGCGTACCTCACAAAGTGGGTCACGCAGATGCTCACGCTCCATGCGCACATTGCAACGCAGCGCGCGGCGTGTGCGCGCGCCGTGCACTCGGCCGTCACCGACGGAGCGCATCGCTTTGTCTGCCCGACGTGCAATGAGACGATTGCGGGCTCGAAAGCCACGTGCCGCGAGTGCGACCGGCCGATTTGCGAATCGTGCCACCCCAAGTGGAGCCTCACCAGCATGTGGCGGCGCCTCCAGAAGAGCCAAGTGTGCGTCGAGTGCTCCGAAGAGCTACGCGGCGTGAGTCTCCTTGAGCGCAACACGACGTCCGAGTCGTGGGAGTGCACGACCCGGTCCACGCTCGGCAGCACCGAGACGACGCACAAGCGCCCGAGCAGTTTGATCGCCAACTACGCACGGGACCTCGAGACGGTTTGGATCGATGTCTCGTCGGTTGACTCGTCGTCCGCCGCACAGACGCCGACTGGCGATGACATTCCGGTCGCCCGCGCCGCCAAGCCGCGCGACGAGGTCAAGTTGCACGAACTCCTCGACAGCTACCACGCCAGAAAGTTGATGGAAGACCCGCGCGTGCAGCAGCTATATAAGGACCTTGTGGCCCTCGACAGGTCATAGTCCACCGACTACTATATATATATATAAACGATCACACCCAACGACACGACTGTTGTGCAGAGCGACGAGGGGGTAAGGAACGATTTAGGTTTGTTTTGGCGAGACGAGCATAGCACAGTGATGCCATTAGTGACGTGGGGAGACCTGCTGCGACTCGAACGCAGCTCTACCAACTATGTACCTGGTGGCACACCGATGTAGATGCCAACGCGGTTGATCTCATTGTTCGTCCCCAACTTGCCTTATGTCCCCTCCACGCACCCCACGCTTGAAAGAAACAACATGCAGTATGAATTATTCATCGAGACGACGCTCGTCGGTAGTCCTCGAGTCCGCCGACTACTTCTTGCAGACGCCGATGCTGCGGAACGTGAGCTCGGGCTGCTTGCACACGGCCTTGCTGAACTCACACCAGTTGCTGTACGTGCGCTTGTCGGACGCGCAGATCGGGTCGTAACTGCGCATGCACGCGTAGTTGCACTTGCAGTCGCCGGTCGCTGCGAGCAGAATGCTCGGGTTGCGGCACTGGGCGGCTTCGAGGAGGCACTTGTTGG